GTGCCCCTGCCGCCTGGCAGAGCCCCCGGAGCCCGAGCTGTTCAGCGTCTCTGCCAGGCGAGACACGGCGGGTCTCGGCGTCTGCGGCTCCCAGCACGAGTTGCGTTTTAAGCTTGCGGAAGGAACTCAAGCGGGTTGTAGGGTGACTTAGCCTGTGCGCTGCCTCGGCGTTCTCTCCTCAGCTTTTTTCTAAGAGCTCTGGAAAAAAGTCGGGCCGTATTGTGGGAGGTCGGGTAAAACTTCTTGCTCTCTAAACCCTCTTTTGTTCAGGGTTTGGTCTGCCGGCTAGCTTTGTGCCTTTGTTGCACTTTCTTGCGCCGAATGCCCGTGTCCCAGTGGGGCTCTGACGGATGAGATCTGGCAAGTCTTGCTGCAAAGACACAGTACGCTGTCGCCCTGCCTTTCTGTCAGGTGATCGCGATCCAGCGGCAGAGCTGGCAGGAGATCATCCATGCCTGCATCTCAGGACCTGTAACTCCTTTCGGTGTGCTACTTTAAGCCACGGATGAGAATATTACAAGTGTTATGCCAAGATAGCGCTGCTGTCATCCAGTGGAGCTGGACCAGCTGTGGGGCTGGTACCTGTTCTGCTCTGCGGGCGCTAATTTGGGAGTTGTGGCTGGGTGGGAGTGAGCCCAGGGAGTGAGTTGGGAGTGAGCGGCTGAGATGCAACAACTTAAATAACCGTAGTGCCCCCGAGTTAGAGCCCTGCACAAATAGCTCTTGCACCGCTGGGTCCCTTTGTCTCCTCTAGCATGTTGGTGTTGTCAGTGCTGCTCACCTGGGGGGAGATGGGAGCACCAAGGGGAGCGCTGAACACATCCTTATGAAATTATTATTAATGTCTCCTTCAGGCCTGAAATTCCTCTTGCTAGTCTTCCGTTCTGTTAAATGCTTCGCAAACCAGAGCAAAGGAAGAGACGTGAAGAGTTGAATTTCACTGCCTTGTTTGGAACTGGGTGGAAATCCTGGAGATGGATCTCTTAGGAGACTGTCTTCCAATTGGGTTAGATGCACAGGTAACAGTAAAGGGACTTGTGGCTTTTTTGGTAAATCTGCTTCTAATTGCTGTATGTTTGCAAAGAGCTCTGAAATAGTGATTTAGGGTTTATTGGGGTTTTTTTCCTCCACCATCTTTGTCCAGCTTTGTGCTGCAACAAAGCTAAGGAGTGTTTACTATGGGAGCTACAGAAGTCCTGCTTTAAACACTGACACCAGCAATGTTTTTTCTGTAGTAGTAGAATGAACTAATGCACTGACAGTGCGTGTAGGCTTTAGAGTAAGAGGGGTAATGAAGTCACTGCGTTGCCAAGTTTGGGACATGTCTTAAGTTGAGCAGAGGGAAGAAATGAGAAGTTGAAAGGAAAGTTGGCCCTTACAGGGAGAAGTTACGGAGAGCTTCACAGAAATGGCTTTGCCAGCTCTTGAGTTTTGCAACCACTGGGGTTTCTTAAAAGTCTGGCCTTGCAGCCTTGTGATTACAAGAGCTTTTCTTCATCAATAACTAATAGATGGGAAAAAATGAATGGGGCGTACCATAAAGTTCAAATACGGCAGACCAAAGCAAAGCAGACCCCAAAGAAGCTGACTGGCCACGGGGCAATTTGAAGGATTTGGGTTGCTTTTTAAAACAATGTCTTTTCAGTTTCTATGTGCTGAGGTCGGGGGTTGGCTCCCTCCTTGTGAACAGTTGTGGAACTGGAGCCGTGGGTGGACTCTTAGACACGTGTGAACTTTGTCTCCCTCTGGCCCAGCACTCGAGGACTTTCCACAAAGCCCTGACCTTCACCACTGAGTCACTTGCCTCTCCTGCCCATGCAGATGGGCAGCATTGGGAGGGAGGGAGGGAGGGAGGGAGGCAGTCAGGTGTGGAAAATCAGCCTGTGTTTCATTGTTGGAACAGAAGGCATTCTCTCCTGGACAACGTTCTTGTGTCTTAGCTGTTTCCTCAAATGTCCCTTTATTGCAGGAGCAATGGATCGCCCCAGCTACCTGGAAGAGGACTATTCTAGCCTGGATGGGCTGGACGATGACGTGTTTCACTCTGATGACTTTGGACTTGCAGGTCAGCCTGGTGAGATGACTGCAACTGGCATTTTCACACAGAACCAGTCCTACAGCTGCCTTCTGGGGAGGTTTCAACTATTCCCCCTCACACACTGCTGTGGTCCCGGTATCAGGCATCCTGAGCAGCAGGACAAGGCAACTCAAACACTCAGCCCGTCCTCTTCCAGTCAGGATGTTATGTTGCCTTGTGGAGTCACTGAAGAGCCCCGGAGACTCTTCTATGGTAAGAGCACTCCAGTGTCACCAGCTTTACAGCGAGGAAACTGTCCCTTTAGCTCTTCCCCAATCAAGCAAGGTTTCTTTCATTAGGGCATTGTATTAAAGGACTAAAAACTATTTTGCTTAGGTCCTACTCCCTCAGGAAAGACAGCTTGTATTTTCTTACCCTTGCTTGTCCACTACAGGAACGAGGCACTTGCTCATTGCTTCTGCTGTCCTTGATATTCCCACTCTTTTTCTTTTTGGCTTTATTCTGTCATGTTTTATTTTACTGCTAGATGTTTAAGTGCTCACCATACCTTGTATCCTACGATTTGCCTACATTTTTTAACTTCTAGTGCTGTCTCATCCACATAGGAATACTCCTAGAAGTTTTCAGTGGAGAGAGGGAAATGCAAAACTTTACACTTGGTGGGACAGCTTTTAGGCTCTTAACTCTTAGGTTAAAGTTGTTGAATAAGTAGCATGTTCGTCCATCCAGTATTTTACTAGTAACTGATGGGACACCACTCAGCTTTGTGTATCTGATTCAGCTTTAATTCAAATCAGTCCCACTGAATGCCAGAGAACTGAGAAAAGTCTGACAGAAAAGATACAGCAACCTTTAGTGGGAGACAACTTGAAGCAGAGATCTTGTAAAACTGCAAAATTTTCATTAAAAAAAAAAAAATCAGCACTTGGCTGAACTATAAACAAGCAAAAGGAACCAAGTGTAAGATCCTGCCAGTCATTTGATTATGGGAAGCAACACAATGCTCTGCTTAATCGATATAAATCTACTTAAAAGCTGAGCAAATGTTTTACTGCATGTTTACGGTACACAGTCATTGTTTGGGCTTCAGGAACTGGACTTTAACATGAGTCAAAAATTTAGGATTATGTGCAGCTCTTTCCTCCGTAAAGTGTACTGAGTAGAACAGCTATTCTTTGCGCTGGAAGAATGACTCTTCTGATCTCTGTTTTGCAGGGAATGCTGGCTACCGTTTACATGTCCCTCCAGTTGGCTTTGCGTTGGACCCGCACCTCCAAGAGGAGCCTCCGGAAGGTCAGCGGGAAGTGCGTGCCGAGGTGCAGATTGCACGGAAGTTGCAGTGCATTGCTGACCAGTTCCACCGGCTCCACATACAGAGGGTAGGGTGTCTCTGGAGGGGAAGGCGGGGGTTTAGCTACCCAAGAGTGGTGCTCTAGAAGACTGGCTCCAGGCATCAGCTAAGCGGGCTGTTGTCTAAGGCAGCAGACTGCCAGCAGCAATAAAATGGCAGCAATATCCTGATGGATTTTGCTTATGCTAGATTGCTGGCTCTTCCTAAAGATTGGGAGGTGGAGGGAAGAGAATGTGTGGGATTGTATTTACTGCCTGGGAAGGTAGCTGTTCTGCGTTAGCTGCTGCTATTCCAGCTCTTCCAGTTCATCAGCAACAGGGTCACTGAGGCTTTCTCCAGGGATCTCCCCCTTGCTTTTTATTACAGCTTTTACTCTTCTCCACTCTTCTCACCACCAGCGTCTTCTCTTCTGTGGCACAAGTTGCCATCGGTGGCTTATATCAGCTCCTCATCTTGGAGATGACAACAAGCCTGGAGTCTGTTCTGACACTCCTTGTTGTCTAGGGGTAGTTGTCTGAAATGTTGTGGAGTATATTTAGATCACGCTAGACTTGCTAGCAACTCCTTTGTCAGACAGTCCTAGCTAGTGTCTCAGACTTGTGACTAACTTCCTCACAACAAAAGACAGCTGTTAGATGCCATCAGGTCTGAAAACCACACTCCAGAATCTTGATTTTGTTTTCTTTAAAAAAAAAAAGAAAAAGAAAAAGGAAGAAACCCTGCTCTGCAAAGAAATGAAATAAAACCAGCACCCCTAAAAACCCCGATTCTTTTTTCCTTGCCCTCCTTCCCCTGTTGAGTAGGGGTGAAATGGAAATCCCAGCCCATGCAGAGTTGGGCAGAGGTGGCAGAGGTTTGGCAGTAGGCAGCACTTCGCCACTTCTGTGCAAGCCCAACACGGAGAGTGTGTATCCGCTTGCATATGAAGAAGCTGACACTCTTGCTGACTTCAGAGAGGGACAGAAAGCTTATCTCACTCCAAGTGAGATGGTGTTCTGTTAACTGTGGGATCTGTTGCAATTCTTCTCAAAGGTAAGTGAGGATCTCTGTCCTGGTTAGAGAATGTGGCTTGTGGCTGGGCAAAGGTTTGGTCCTCTCTGTGTCGTGAGAGAGATGAGGGAATTCTGGGACTGAGGAATTCATCTCCAAATAGCAGGAGGATTAACAAAGCTGTAACAGGAAGATTAGCCTGTAGAAATGTGGAAGGGGCTATGAATGTCATTTAGCAAATTGCAGGAATAACGAGCTACCACGAGATTTTTAACGTGTTGTGTGTGGTTGAATGGGGTTTTCCTCAGCGCCACCTCTTCGCCAGTGATAGCTGCAGACCCCACTCTCTCTAGCCAGATTCTCACAGGAAAGGGAAGGTTAACCATCTCGTGGAGGAGCCCTGGAGTGAAGTGGTGGAACTGGTTGTAACTTGACCCCTTTCATCTCCGGGAGCCTACCTATCTGATGTCTGTGCCTTGGAAA